GCTCCAAGAGCACCGGGAAGGCTGGGTCAGCCACTGCCATGTGTCAGGAGGCCGTTTGTGAGGGTTCGCGGGGCGCAGGCAGGGAGAGCACTTTTGGGGCTTCTGCCTTTAGTGCTCCCTCCCGCCGTCACCCGCAGCCCCGAGCCTGGCGGAAATCTCAGCAGGTCCTTTGTTTTCTGTTCCCCGCAGCCTGGGCCGGTTCTACTCTCACATATGCTCCCGCACAAGCTGCTGTGCTGCCCCCTCCTCCTTTTCCCTCACCCTCCTCCCTCCTCCCTTCTGTGTACACAGACTCCCCTACCGACACACAGTCCCATTGTCTTCTCCCGTGCCCTTCCCCGGCCCTCTGGTTTCCAGATGAAGCCAGCTGAGCCTGCCCCCCTCCTCAGCTGACCCACTCTGACTGCCTCGGGGAAGGAGCGGGGGAGGGGGCTGTCAGCCCGTTTCCCTCTCCCTCTGCCCCTCTCTGCTGCTTCTGCCCTCCCCCTCCCGGAAATCCCCTCTTCCTCTCCCACAGCCCCCTCCCCCCATCCTGTCTTCTCCCCTGGGCCTGGGCCTCCACTGCACCGCCTGGAGCAGTCTCAGGCCCCTGCCTTTCCCCCTCCGCCTAGCACCGGAGAGCTCTGTTGCTGAGGCCGGGAGGAGGGAAGTAGTGGGACAGGCTCTGTTCCTCACTGCCCCTCCCACTCTTCCACCTAGGGTGCCCATAGCTCTGGGGGAACCTTTGTCCTGGCTGGGCCCCAAACTGCCCAGGCTAATCTGCCTGAAGCCTGGGGACTTGCCTCAGTCCCTTCCCTGACTCCAGAACCACTAAGTCAGCACATTCCTGAGGCCGCAAAGCAGACCCCCTCCCTCATGGCCCACCCTCTTTCCCCACTCCTGCCTGGGCCATTACTCAAGTCTGTTCAGAAAGGCTGGTTGCCTTGTGGGCACGGGCACACCTCCTCACTGCCTGGGCACGTATTTTTCTTGGCAATGGCAGCATGGCCAGTAGTAGTCATGAGGTCGGGAGGAGGTGGATGCTAGAAATTCTTTGAGCACCTGAGCCATGGACTGCCCAGGTCCTCCAAAGTGCCGTGGTGGACAGGGCTCCCAGGGAGCCTTTGCTTCCGCCTTGATGCTTGCCTGCTTCCTACCTACCTGACTCAGACTTGCCAGAAATGCCCTGCCTGAGGGCCTTCAATCCTGCTGGGTGAGCCCTTGCCCTGCCTGGGCTGTGCCAGGCATGTGTGACTGGTCCTGGCTAAGGTCAGCAAGGCCATGTTGGCGGAAGGAGGCGTCCCAGAGGTTCCTTGAGTGCTAACAACCTGGTGAGGGATTGGTGGAGGAGAGGAAGGGCAGTGGACAGGGTCAGCAGGCTTCACATGCCTGCCGTGCAGTGACCAGAGCCTTGGTATGCTTGTCTGGACAGTTTTTCTTGCACTAGCATTTCTTCTGTATGCAGGGTAGTAGAACTGATCTGAGCTGTGGAATCAGATATATATAGGTGCTGCTTCATCCGTGAGCCTCAGTTCTTTGATCTGCAAAATGGGGACATTGAGCCCCTTTTCAGAGGCAGGTGATGAGAACTGGGTGGGAACATAAACAGTACCTTTCCTCCTCTTTGCTTTAGGAGACACACCCTCATAGGAAGAGGGAAGGGATTGGATAGGGTGGCTCCAAGCTGACCTTTGCCCTGGGTTCTTTGCTGGGCACCCGCATGGGGCTGGGCAGCCCTGGCACTTAATCTCAGTTCATCCCTGATCACCCCCCCCAAATCAACTTTCAGCCTGACCAATGAAAACTAACCCGGGGGAGGGGTTGGCTGGGCAGCCTGTTCCTTTCCTAGTCCAGCTGCCACCCTGGGAGGAGGGGTGCCAGCTGCCACCTGTTGGCCAAATGCTGTCTAAGGCAGCTGCCTTGGCCTCCAGAACCACCCCTCCCCAGGATAAGACCTGGGATCTTCTAGGGTCCTGGAGAAGTGGGTACCCTCAGACCTCTGCTTACCCTCTCAGGTGGGGCTGTCTGGGAACTGGTCTGGTGAGGGAAGGAGGCTGGTCTGGTGAGGGAAGGAGGCTGCCCTGGTTGAGAGAGTCAGGCCTGGGGCTCTCCCTTCCCATGGTGTGGAGCCTTGACCCTGTCTCTCCCCCCCAACCCCCTGCAGTGAAGGAGTCTTCAAGTGCCCTGAGGACCAACTTCCTCTGGACTATGCCAAGGTGAGTCCACAGTGCCAGGTACAGGCTCTCGCCCTTGGTGGAGGCTGCAGCTGCTGGCAGTCACTGGGCTCAGGGCCAGTGTCAACCCAGTGCTGTGGAATAGTGTGCCCCCACAAAGGTGGCCTGTTCCCTCCCACCAGTACAGTTTGCAAATGAGGCCCGTGTTTGCCCTGGAGGGCAGGCACAATGCCCAGCCTGTGGGGGTGCACAGAGCTGCTCTGTGCCCACAAGAAGTGTTCCCCTCCTCTTTGGGTGGCTGGCCAGACCTGTGGCTGAGGGCCAGGACCCCTCTCCCAGGGAGAAGGAAGCAGAGGGTGTGGGGGCTGCCTGAGACTAAGCAGGCTGATTGGCTGCCACTCCAAAGGGAGTGTCATGTGCCAGCATGTTGGAGGACCTTGGAATCTAGTGTTGGAGCAGATACTACCAGCTGTACCCTTTGTTCCTGGGCATAGAGAGGCATTTAGCCCAAGAGAGGCTGTTACTGGCTTTAAGGTAGAGCTACCCTGTCTGGGGGTGGAGGAGGTGGGAACCAGGGACTGTAGCGGGCTCTGACCCTGACCAGTCCTTTCTTGACCACAGATCTACCCAGACCCAGAGCTAGAGGTCCAGGTACTGGGCCTGCCTATCCGCTGCATCCACAGTGAGGAGGGCTGCCGCTGGAGTGGGCCCCTTCGGCACCTACAGGTGAGGCTCTGATGGGGGTGGGCAGGGGGCACTTCCCTCTCTTGGTAGGCATTAACTGCCATCTCTCCCTCCAGGGCCACCTGAATACCTGCAGCTTCAATGTGGTCCCCTGCCCCAACCGCTGCCCTGCCAAGCTGAGCCGCCGGGATCTGCCTGCACACCTGCAGCACGACTGCCCCAAGCGGCGCCTCAAGTGCGAGTTTTGTGGCTGTGACTTCAGTGGGGAGGCCTTTGAGGTGGGTGGGGCCTGGCTGACAGTAGAGGGAGAGTGGGGCACCTGGTGGCCCACGGATCCCTAAACTCAGCCCGTCTGGCATTTCCACAGAGCCACGAGGGCGTGTGCCCCCAAGAGAGTGTGTACTGTGAGAACAAGTGTGGTGCCCGCATGATGCGGCGGCTGCTGGCTCAGCATGCCACTTCTGAGTGCCCCAAGCGCACCCAGCCTTGCGCCTACTGCACCAAGGAGTTCGTCTTTGACACCATCCAGGTGAGGCCCTTCCTGAGCTGGGGGCGATGGGGCAGGTAGCAGGGAGTTGGGCTGCTAACTGCTTCTCTCTGCCCTGCCACCCCAGAGCCACCAGTACCAGTGCCCCAGGCTGCCTGTGCCCTGTCCCAACCAGTGTGGCGTGGGCACCATCGCTCGGGAGGACCTGCCGGGCCATCTTAAGGACAGCTGTAGCACTGCCCTGGTGCTGTGCCCATTCAAGGACTCTGGCTGCAAGCACAGGGTGAGATGCCCCTCTTCCTGTCAGCTCCCTTCTTGGTCCTTGAAGCCTCGGACAGAGGCCCTTAATGGTCCCTTCTCTGCTGATCTGAAGCCTTCAGTCCTTCCCCTTTCTGGCCAGCTCCAGCCTCCTCCTAGTGCCATCTATCTTCCTCATGCAGAGCTGGGTGCTGGCCACCCTGTACCCACTCCTCTCCTGTCCTCTGGACTTGCCCCTACTGATAGCTCTCCTCCCTTCCCCCATGGCCTGGGGCTTTGCCAACAGTGCCCTAAGCTGGCAATGGCGCGGCACGTGGAGGAGAGCGTGAAGCCACATCTGGCCATGATGTGTGCCCTGGTGAGCCGGCAACGGCAGGAGCTGCAGGAGCTGCGAAGAGAGTTGGAGGAGCTGTCGGTGGGCAGTGACGGCGTACTCATCTGGAAGATTGGCAGTTATGGCCGACGGCTCCAGGAGGCCAAAGCCAAGCCCAACCTCGAGTGCTTCAGCCCTGCCTTCTACACACATAAGTATGGCTACAAGCTGCAGGTGTCTGCCTTTCTCAATGGCAATGGCAGTGGTGAGGGCACACATCTCTCACTCTACATTCGCGTGCTGCCAGGTGCCTTTGACAATCTCCTCGAGTGGCCCTTTGCCCGCCGCGTCACCTTCTCCCTGCTGGATCAGAGCGACCCTGGGCTGGCTAAGCCACAGCATGTCACTGAGACCTTTCACCCTGACCCAAACTGGAAGAATTTCCAAAAACCAGGCACTTGGCGGGGCTCCCTGGATGAGAGTTCTCTGGGCTTTGGCTACCCCAAGTTTATCTCCCACCAGGATATCCGCAAGCGAAACTATGTGCGGGATGATGCAGTCTTCATCCGTGCCTCTGTTGAATTGCCCCGAAAGATCCTGAGCTGAATGCAGATGGGGCTGCAGGAGAAAGGGGGATGGAACATAACCTCCATCGGGCACTGGCTGAACCTGAAGAGGGGGCTGGACCCCCTTACAGCTGCTTCTGCTGTCTGGGTTCTGTTACCCTGTTCCCCCTCCCTCCTCCTCTACCACCCTCAGGTGCCTCCTATTGGTGCTTCAGCCCTGGCCTCTGAGGAAAGCAGGTCTTAGGGTCATCAAGGGCTTGGAAATAAGTGATCCCAGGGCCTGTCTCCTGGACAGGGCGGACATGCCTTGGTGCGGGCCACACTCTACCCTGGACTGAGGTGCCTGCTGGTGCTATGTCCCAAGAGCCATAGAGGGGAGGGGGAGTTGGGAAACTGAGGGGCAGTTAAAAGTATCTGTCTTGAGATCTGATTTCTCTTCCCCTTTCCCCAGCTGTGTCCCCTTTGGTTATTTATTTACTTAGTGCCAGGAGGGCACAGCAGGGGAGCCCTGGTTTTTAATAAATCCTGAATTGTATTTATTAACTTGGTTCCAGCCTAACTCATCTGGGTTGGTTAGGGTCCTGGCAGGCTGGGCCCAACCGTGAGGTTAAAAGGACCAGAGAGGGGCTGCAACCCTCTTGGCCCCAGAATCCAGCTGCTGTGCTAGATCTCCCTCTGGTGGAGAACGGAGGGACTGCACTAGGCTTTGTTTGGAACAGTTGCCTGCCGCTGCCCTCTGGTGATTAGATGGGGAGGTTCAGGCTTTGGACATTTTGTAAAGTTAGAGGCCCTGATCCATACCCCACTAAGGACTGACTACCTGTGCTGTAGTCAGGTCTCTCTTGGTCTAATGATAATAAGTACCATTTATTGAGTAATTTCATGTGGCAGACAGTGCTAAGCACTTTACATGCACTATTTCATTTAACACAACAGTCAAATGATACAGCTTTTAATAAAAGCTATCTATCTTAGTGGGCTGTGGTGAAGATTTAATGAGACAGTGCATGTTCCCAACACAAGATAGTTGACTGTTCCTATTCGTGTGTTTCAGTCTCAGATTCAACCGTCTCAGATTCAACCAACAGTACAGTGGAAATACTTGGGAAAAGTTCCAGAATGTTATAAAAAGCAAAAATTATTGGCCACTCATGGGCAAATTTACACAGTATTACATTGTATTGGGTATTACAAGTAATCTAGAGATGGTTTAAAGTGTGCCAGAGGATGTGTGTAGGTTATACCCAAATACTATGCCATTTTATATTGGAGATTTGAGCATATTTGGATTTTGGTATACACTGGGAATCCCTGAACCAATTCCCCACGGATATCAGAGGGAAGACTGAGTGTTTCAATGTAAATCGAATTCCAAAGCCCAGCCCACACCCAGGGACTCCTAAACTGAACAAAAGGCCTTTGAGGTGTACAAGTCACTTGGATTTTCTCATCCATACTTACTTGCTTTTCATATCGGCCTCAATGTGTGCTGTGATTATCCACATTTGGCTGATGACATAGGAACAGAGGAGTGAACTGACTTTAGTCAGCTAGTTTGAAGCAGGGCCTGGATTCTGTTTTAAGCTCCAGCAATTCTAGAAGTACAGCTTTCTTTAATTTTGGCAATAGATTTGGGTTTGGATCCTTGCTGGGCTTGCTTTTTGACAAGTTACTTAGCTACACGGGGCATCCTTACTCTCACTGGTAAAATAAGAGTAATCCTGCTCATCTAGGTTTGTAAAGATTAACTCATCAGTATAAAGTGCCTTATTCTTGCCTGGCTCTGAGGAGAGGCTCAATGTATGAGAACCGTTGTTTAGTGAGGGGAAGATTCAAGGACTATAGCTTGCCTTCTTTACTTTCCCAGACAGAGGCTTAGGTAAAAAGAGCCCTTACCAGAAGATGACAGGGTCTAAGCCTGAGGCAGGCAGTCCAGCAGGTTTGCCTTCAAAAGATAAAATTCACTGATTTAGGAGATGAAGCCCTGGCTGCCTTGCTGAAAAAGTAATGGTGACCCTTTTACCAGCTAAACCATCTTGGTACAGTGATGCCTGGAAGCTGGTAGAGAAGACCAGGGGCTCTAGTAGAGGAAATGTCTTCACTTAAGCACAGGCTTCTAAGGCAACAGGCTGAAACACTTCTGCGTCCAAGAGAAGCCAGACACCCGGGATCAAGCTTGGGCTCCCTCTGCTGGCAGGACTGTGCCACTGCATCGTTCCAGGCGGTACGTTCCCACAGAAGGTTGGTGCTTCCCCCAGTGCCTGCAACAGTGGATGTTGCAGTCCACCCCATAACGAGGCCTAACCCTCGTTCCAGTGCCGTTGCAGGTGGTCATAATTGCCTGTGGAACTCAAGCCAGATTGCGCATCACAGTGTGAGCTGGGCTCAGTTCACCTTCAACTCTTGTCTAGCTGCATGACCCTAGGCTGATTGAGGCCTCATCTGACACAAGCAGAAGAGGACTTTCTTTCACAGGAAAGGCATGAGGAGTAAAGAGGGCAAAGCACCTTTAGAAAAGGGCACCCCAGAGAAAAGGGCGTGCTCAGGGCCCTTTCAGCTCCATCAGTACTGAGAGCCACCTAACTCCTGCTACTAACCATCTGATTCCACCCTCACTGAATCCTACGCATCCTGTGGAATCTCTCCTTCCCTTCATCACATCTTAGCCCAGACCCAAGTTCAGTGGAAAAGGGAGGGGCTGGGGAATCTAAATGGCTCTTTTGGGTCCCCCCTCCCCCACCACAGACAAAAAAGAGAAAGTTCTCCACGCAATACTCAACCCTTAAGACTCAAATCACCAATAGGGCCTCTGTGTGTTACAGCACCTACTACTTCCACCTCTGTCAGACACTGTCAGAAATTCCAAGACATTCAAGGTGGGAGAAAGGCAATAAGGATGTTTAGTGTTAGCTGGCTTATCAGCAAACTAGGTCCCCACGTTTCAATGACTGATCTCCCTTGGAGTGAAAGCAGCAGTACATTGAACTGGACCTCCAGGGAAGGGCAGCAAACTATACTTACTCATCAGATCCCACCAAATCCCTGGCAGCCCTGCCTAGGGAGCAGGCCAGTCAGCTGGGTACCCTCCCCCGCCGCCAGGGGCTGGCTGAACTGTGAACTCCATGCCTTACAATCAGCGCCTGGTCTGGGATGACGGATTGGGAGGGCTTCTGAGTAGGACAAATACTACAGGAGTCCCCTTAAAAATGAGAAATTACTTTCCTTCTAGTAAACGACCTCAAACACTGACAGCATTAAACGAATAGGACAAGATCAGAAGGTGAGTTTTTTCTTTTTACTGGTTTATGATAATCTTAAAAACCCCATCACGCCCATAAACCACCACAGGTGAGATGAGGAGAGAGATGGAGAACGAATGCTACAGTATGTGGGCAGCAGGGGAATCCAAGGTATTTTCTAGGGCAGTGTGGGGTGGAGGCAGGGAGTGTGGCTAGGAGGCCCTGGCTTGGCCCCTTATTGCTGGTTGGGGGTTGGCTGGCAGAGGAAGAGAGGGGCTCAGGGTGAACTAGGAAACATCTCACACCAAAGGCAAGGGCAGTTGGGGGGTGGGGGTAGGAGTCACAGTACATTTTCCATGCAGACAAGGGGTGAGAGTGAGCGCTTCAGACTTGCACCCCTACACAGGAAGAGATGGGTTTGAGGTTTGATTTTAAGCCCCCAAGTTGGTGTCTGGTCCAATTTCCTAAAATGGCAGCTCACCTTTTGGGGAGAGGCATTGGAAAAAATTACAGCAAAAATATCTGGCTTGAAGATCAAGCGAGGGATAAGGGGAGACAATGGTGTTCTTTCAGTTTAACTCAAGAGAAGTGAGAACAGGAAGGGGGCCCGGGGTGAGATGGCCAACACACTGGGAGAAGGCATCACACCAGGAGCTACAGGTGCTCCTGGGGGCTCAGGGACAGGGAGGTACCAGTGTTCACAGACGGCAGGAAAACAATTGGGAGTAATAAATTAGGACTTCATGTTGCTATCATTTGGCATAACACAATCAGGCTTTTTTTTTTTCTCTTTTTAAATATAAGGCATCTCGCCAACACATAATTTAAAAAATGGTCTTCAGTCACATTGCTTCAGATCACTAGAGAAGTTCTGGCTAAAGAACAGTGGATAGTATAGTAAACAAAACCCAAAATCTTAAATAAGAACATTAGCTCACATTCCCCAGAGACAAGAGGAAAGGGTAGGGCTTATTTGGTTTAAAAACAAAAAAAAACAAAAAAAGCCAACTATGCATCTTTAACAGAAGGGTGCAAAACATTACAACAAAACATAATCTAAGTTACAGAAAAGCTTTAAATTTCTAGCCAGCTAACTGTCGCCTGGGAACGAGACGCGTTTAGCACAGGGTGGATGGGTGAAGAACAGGCGAGGGGCAGGAGGGGCTGTTTCCCATAGAGGCCCATCTCCAGCTGTTAGAACCGTGCTCATTTGGTAAGGGAAAAATTCAGAGAGCTTAAGGCTTTGTGTTTTTTTTTTTTTCCTTTCTTTCTTCATTAAACTGAGGGGCTGAGAAAGGTGACTAGAGGGTAAATGCACCTGTGGGACACCGCTCACACACAATGCTACTCAAACCCACACTACATTCATACAGAAACAGGACGTGTTAAACAGTGTAGAGCAATATTCTTAAGCCAGTGTAGAGAGAACCAAATGCATTTTAACTTTTTTTTTCAGTGTTTTTAATTCCAAACTCCAATGTGATCATCCCTTCCCTACTACCTAATTCCTCAAGATTTTTGTTTTGTTTTGCTTTTGGGGGAGAGGTAGGGGGATGGGGGATGAGGGCAGCAGGTGTTAGGGGAGAGAACAGTGAGAAAGATCTTGGGTATGCTGGACGGTCACAGAATTTCTCTAGGGATGGAAGGGGAGTCAGGAACTGAGATATCAATACGAAGACAGGTTTTTCCCCCTCCTGTCTCAAGGCTGTCGCTAGGACAGTTGCAGTGGTTCTGGGATCAATGCAGATGTACAACAAAGCCTTGACGAATGGAGAGGGGCTGGGCTGGGAGGAGATGAAGCCTAGGTCAGTTTTAATTTGAGGTCTTTGGGTAAATACGGAATTAGCTTCCAGAGCTGTCTGGCTTCTTAGTCCAGAGAAAGGGAGACAGAGAGACAGAGAGAGGCCTAGCTTGGGTGTCTGGAGACCTACAGCTACCTCACCTAGGGCCCTTCCCTTAGCTCACACCTCAGTCCTAAGGGAAACAGGACAGCAATTGACATAGGCTGGTGGAAAATGACAGAGGGGGAGGGACTTGATTGATACACAGGCATCAGAAGAAAAGTCTGGGGTTGGGATTAGGTTCTAACATAAACCCACAAGTTGCTGGGGCTGGTAGAGAAGAAGATGAGGGCACAGAGGATCCCCCTTCTGTCCTCAATTAGATCCCACCACATTCCCTTTCTTAGACATCTAAGAATGATCACATTGGAGCAGTAAAACTTGGAAACTATCCAATTACTCAAAAGACTAAACCTAGAAGGGTGATGTATGATGTGTAGCTTGTGGAGGGCACGGGGCCTACCTATCTATACCCCGGGTGCTGAATATGAAGACTCCGACTATCTGTGGGGTCAGGGGCTCGGCTGCCGGGGGCTCGGTGGGCCTTGCTCAGCACGGCCAGGCCCTGCTCTCGGAAGCAGGCCTGCTGGAAATCCCCACTTAGGTAATCCACTGTTTGCACCAAGCTGTTCTGGCTCGCCACTGGGCCGCCCCCGGTCCCTGCCCGGTAGTGGGCCCCAGCAGCCGCCGCACAGTCGAGGGGTGCACCTGCAGGCTGCCCACCGTGGAACGGCACGGCTAGGTCCTGAGACCCCGAGCTGTCGCTATTGGGAGTGGGCAGAATGTTGTTCCACAGGGGTTGGAAGTAGTGACCATTGGGGTAGGCCAGTGGGGCTGCCAGGCCGTTGACAGGTGGGGATGGGGTTGGCTTCTCCAGGGGTGGCTTCAGATGGAAGGACTGTGCCAGGCAGAGTTCCTGCGGGTAGGCAGGGGCCTTGCCCACAAAGCCAGGCCCTGCCAACTCGCGTCCTGCCGCATGCTTGCCTGTCAGGCCAGGGGCCGGCGTCCCACCGGCCTCACTGCACATCTGTTGCAAGTGGGCCAGCTGGTGCTGGTTCCAGGCGACTGGCTTGAGGTCGCTAGGGTAGCCAGTAGGGGCTCGAGAGATGCCCGTGGGCAGGTTGACAGGGCCTGCAGCGGGCAGTGCGGCTGTGGCCGCATGGGTGTGCTCCATGGGATTGACCACACAGGAAGGCATCGGTGTGGGGATGCTGTGGGTCGACACCCGAGTGCTTGCATTGATGAGCAGACTGCGACTAATGGGGCTGGGGTTGGCGATCTGGCCCTCACACACTGAGGTAGTGCTGATGCCCGCCCTCGTCTGGCAAAACTGGTTGATCTGGTGCACGATGCTGCTCAGGTCCGGGGGCTGGCTGTGCTGCAGGGTGGCCGCCATCGAAAGGGGGATAGTTGAGGTAGACACGGTCACATTCGGGGGGGCATCTGAGTCTGGCATCTTCCGGCCTCCATGCAGCAAGGGGTTGGGGGGGTGTTGGAGACCCTGGTGAGACAGGGCCTGAGGGTGGACCAAGCCCTGGGTTTGGGCCATGGGCTGAGGGTGGCCCAGGCCCTGAGGCTGCTGGAGGCTCTGAGGGTGGGACAGCGCCTGGGGTGGCGGGATACCCTGAGGGTGCTGCAGCGTCTGGGGAGGGGCATGGGCCAGGGTCTGTGCATGCTGCAGGGCCTGCTGGCGGGCCAGAGCCTGGGCCTGGGGGTGGGCTAAAGTGCTGGGTGCCACAGTAGCATAGGGCGCCACTGGGGGGTTCATGATGGCCTCAGGGAGCAACCGGGCTCGGGTGCCGTCAAAGTCCTTGAGAATGCTTTTGGCTGGCACTTTGACAATGGCAAGCAGGCCTGCCTTGGTGGCAGCCTGAGTCGGGTAGGGGCTGTAGCGCTGGGCTGATGTGTCGAGGCCGTTCACAGTACGACGAACGTGTTTCCGCTGGGGAACCTTCACACTGTTGGGGAAGATTTTTATAGTCAGTGGGTTGTTTGCGACCTTCTTAGCATACGCGTCCAATTCGGCTGGGGTAGGATAGTGAGCAGTTCTCATTTTCTGTGTAGTGTCCCCTAGAGAGAGAGAAGGGGAAGGAGAGCAAAGAAGGAGAGGGAGCTCGTCAGTGCCAAGCCAACCAGCCCTTCGAGATTTCCCGTCTGAGGGCTGGGCCAAGTTGTCCTCCCTGGTCTCCAATTCAGACCCAGCCTCAGCCCCCCACAAAAACAAGCACTGCTAACATTTAGTCAGTACTTACAATGGGCCAGGCTTTTTGCTAAGTGACAGGCTTGCTACTGCTTTAGGAGACAGGTACTATCATGATTCCCATTCTACAGTGAGGTCACTAAAGATCAGAACAGCAGAGCAACTCTGAAAAATCCCGTATCTCAGAGAGCCAGAACTTGGCCACTTCTCATACGGACTTCTCTCCAAGTTCCTACCAACCCATGCTGGCTTGGGGGTTCTAAGCACAGCTGCTTGTCAGGGCCATTCAGTCCCTGCCCCATGACACCCTGGGGAAGAGGGCACCCAGAATGACTATTCTTCAGTCTGCAGTGGCCGGTGAGACATCAGCTTTCTCTCTGCCTTGGCAGCCGGGGCACAGTGCCCACTGGGTGGGCCTCCTGGCCCAGCAGACAGGATGCTTCTTTTACAGGAGCATAGGAATAAGCTGCCAACATCCCTCCCCCATCCCCATGTCACAAGTTCACTTTTGTTTACAGCTTACTCTCTGCCTGCCTTGGTGAAGATCAAAAGGCTTCATTTATTTCCTTGTAGGGGGTGACAATAATGACAGGGCAGCAGGGAGGGAACTGAGAAGAAAGGATTCAGAGAATCTTTAAGTCCTGAGAGCCAAAAATAGTCTGTATTCGGCCCCTGTCAGCTGTCACTTTCCAAAATGAAAGAGGAAGAACCTGCCTTCCTTTGGAGACTGCGGAAACACTGCTCAATGGGCCTCATTAATGCTAACAGTCTCTTTGTTCCCATCTCCAGTTGCCTCCCATCAGGGGGCTCCAGCGGATGTCGTGCTTCCAGTCAAAAAGGAAAAGGTTCAGAGAACAAGAGCTCTTTAAGGATGCCAGGCTCCTGCAAGGGGTCTCTGCTCTGTTCTCCCTCTCTCTGAGGGAGGGTCTCCCCTGAGTATACACAGAAGGTGCTTAATAAAGGCTTGCTGAGTAAGTACACAGACAGCCCAAAGCAGAAAAAAGGTGGGGGTGGAGGAGCTTGGCTGGGAGCCTGGGCTCAGCTAGCTGACTCCCTCCCTACTTCCTCCCCTTGCAGAAGGCAGACCAGGGACTAAGCTGACCAAACGCCTGGCTTGTGGCCTCAGCTGGCCTGGCCCCAAAAAGACCCCATTCAAAGTCATGTCGCTGGGCAGCAACTGGAACAGAAATAGGCTAGTGAGTGTGCTAGAAGGAAAAGGGCACAGTTGCCTTTGTTTAGTGACATTGCTGGTTGGCTGGCAGCAACTGCTTAGAAAATGCTGCTTTTGGAAGCAGGAAAAGAAAGCTCAAGTCCAGGAGGGGCAGAGAGATTCAGACCTACGTTCAGTGAGGTAGAACTTAGCAAAAAGGTACAGAAAGGAAAAGGTCTGTGCTTTTAAACACCGGCACAATGCCCTGAACTTAGGAGGCACTCCAACATATTTAAGGCTCTGCTTTATTTACTGAGTACAGAATAGTTGCTCCACCTATAAACAAAATGTTTGTAAGATGACTGATTTGAAGGTCTTAGAAGGATAAATGTGACAATGACAACCGAAGGCAGGAAGGAGAGGGAAGCAGAGAGGCCTGGCAGTCTTCTCCCACCCACTAGGTAGGTAGCACTAGCTGGTGAGGAAGGTCAAAGCCTGGAGAACGAAGTCTGAGTTCTGCTGCTTCTTATAAACTACTGACCCTTAACAGGCTTCAGTCTCTACAAATTGGGGCCATTTTCTGACCCTTTTTACATTCTCCTGGACAAGAAGATACTAAAAAGTCTGAGAACACTGAGAGATAGTCCCTAAACTCAAGGCACCAGAATTCCATTAGAAGCCGCCCTGGTCAGCCTTTGTACTTTGGTATCTGATAAAAAGCGTATGACGCTCCCAGCTCAGTGCCTTCCGTACCCAGAGCAGACACGCAGTAAATACTTGGTAAATGCCATCAGTACAGGTACCACCTGATGAACAACGGGGACTCAGCTGAGTAATGGGAGTCCCAAGCTCCTGGGTTTCAGTTCAGACAGGGAATGAAGGTCTGCCCCTGGGCTTTCCTCCATGCTAATGGGCTTTTCTCCTTGAAGGCCAAGTGAGAGAGACTGGTACAGTGGCTTGCTGAGTAATAGAGCTCCTTTGTTCCAAGTCAATACCGACTCTCAGGTTGATTTTTTCTAGCAGAGGCAGCAGGTAGCTTCTGCTTCTCACTCAGGAATATGGAATGGACACCTATACTGATTAGTATTCTTTGTCCTGCCTCCACTGATGTTGACCGCGGTGATGACGGTAGTCAAATAAAGAAATCATAATCAAAGCGAGAGGAGGGGCAGGCAGGGAAGATGGACACAGGCTACAGTACATTAAGGAAGAATCTCAAGGATAAGACAAGCATATTGAACAAGAAAGAGGCCACATTCTGGGAATCCAACATCACTCACCTCATATACCAGACTTAAGCCCAATCCTTAAAAAAGAGCCAAATTTTCCTCAATACTTTATCTCAGTCCCCATACAGGACTTTCTTCTGTGTCATCTTCCTGTAAGTGCACAACTCACACAGATACTACAGTTTTGTAACCAACTTATTTAAATACCTGGTACCAATGGTGTCATTAATCGAGATATAAGGCAGTGTAGAGAACAGGGAATCTGTGGTTAGGAAAAAAGAGAGATCCGGATTCAATCAGTGGCTTTATTATCTGACTACTCAGTCTCAGTTATTCCTAATTTATAAACAGGGATGATACCTACTGTCCTACCTCACAGAATTACTAAGATGAAGAGATCCAATGAATGGAAAGTGCTCTGTGACCAGGAACCCTGACTGTCCATAGCTGTTATTCAAGGATACCAGGTCTGGCTGAATTTGCCCACGGATGGGACACAGTAACCTGACCAAGAAAGCCCTAATAACTGCAGGATCCCCTGGACTTGAGTCTGAGCAATAAATGCAGTGGAGAAAGCACTGTTGTCTACTACAGGCACTGGCAGGGGAATCTCCCTGAATCTAGGCTTCCCTAAGGGGGACCTCCCCATTTGTCTTGTTTTGAAGGTCAGAAGACACAGGTGGCAAAATGCAGCAGCAGCCTCCATCTACAGGTGGAGAGACACAGGCAATGTGTTTCAAACACAGGCTTTGAAGCCTGACCCAAGTGTGAGTTCTAGCCTAGTCACTGAGGAGTAATGGGATATAGACAAGTGACACTCTGTGCCTCATCCTGAAAAGAAAGGTAAGAGAGTCTCCCATATGGAACTGTCGAGGATTGAATGAGAACATATATAAAAATACTCGAGCTAATGTCTGGCACATGGTAAGCACTCAATAAATGTCAACTAATATTTCTGGTATTTCTGAATTTATCCAGTCACTGGGCCAATTCACCATTTCCAGGCCCTTCCACTAGGGGGCAGACAGGCATGCAGAGAAGCCATAAAAGATTAACTTTGATATCTGTCCTAGGCCCCAGGACTGATTCTACAATGAAAGAGGTCAAAGTTTTGACTAAAAGATGATTTGAGGACCAAGGACTTTGGTCATTTAAGCCATTCTACCTAGAAATATTTACTGAGCCACCACTATATACCTTACCATGAGCTGGAGAAAGAGGAGCAGAGGCTTGGAGTTAATGAAGACAAAAATGTTCAAAAATACATTTTCTGAGGAACTAAGAGAAGATGGATCAGAGGAAACCAAATTTTGCAAGTACAAGGTTCCAAATGGCTGAGGACTCTCAAAGCAAGTGCCATTATGGAATATACAATCTGGAACAGTTCTAGGGCATCCACCTAACCTCAGCTGTGGTCTTCTACCAGGTACAGGACCCACCCAAAGCCAAGATGTCCTTTAATTCAGTCTGCTACACTATGGCAAACTGCACCTCTAGGCTGGGAAATGCATTACATCCTCATACATGTAGAGAAGAAAATGTTGGCCTTAGAAGGGACCAGTCCTGTGATCCTGTACATATGGCAGCTCAAGCCTGGGGAAGAGTGATTAGCCAGGTGACTTACAGTGCTGGCTCAAGAAGCCACATATCCCATGTCCTGACCCTTGACCTAGCTCTCCTGCCTTGAGCTCAAGCAATATAAAGTGTATTAAGCTATAACATCTGTCCCCCATCCCCACCCCATCAAATACTGAGTTCTGTGTTTCTAGCAACCCTCCTGAGGATGGTGGCAGGGAAAGGCTGAATAGCAGAATCACAAAACTGGCTTTAAGATCTCTATAGCTGATAGGCCTGGGCTCTGAGCAGCTCCTGGGCTGTTGGTTTCCAAAGGAGACAGCTTATGCTCCGTCTCACCTTAACTGTAAATGCTTAATGCAAAAGCGGTGAGTCATATGACAGGATTTTTTCCTACACATTTGGGGAGAGGAAAGAAGAAAGCAAAACTGAGCTTAAAAACACTACTGGGTTTTCTCCTCTGCAAAAATTTGGGTGTAGTTAAGGAGAGCAACAAGAGAGTCGAAGAGGCTCAAATACACAGTCCCCCACGGACAGGTGAGCCTGAAACCAGGGAAGAAGGGTATCTCAATTCTTGAAGAGAGATTTGGGACACTGGTTGGCAGAGGCTACTTGGGGCTACTTTGAGAAGAAGGTCCCAAATCAGCATCCAAGATAAAGCTGCCAATTTGCCTTTCCTCCCAAATGGCTCAGCCCTTGATAACACATCTCTGGGTGAAGTTGTCAAAGTGTGATAAGGAACCTAGAAGAAAAAGACAGTGAGCTGCTCTTTGTCATCTTATTATATGCTTCCGAGCATACTCCTTCCCTAGTTGTGTCCCTAGAAGCCTGGAACCAGTCACAATGCAGCGAGCATGCAGGTTTGGGTGGCCAGGGAGCACTGACAACTTCCTCACCCAATCATCATTTAGTAAGAGAAAGGCTGGGGAAGAGCTGATACAGCACAGCTTGCCTACTATGTCAAGCAGCTGCAGAAGGAACACTGTCACCTTCAGCTTTGTCATTATGCAACTTGGATTCACTGGTCAAATTCTAGAACTAGCCAGGCTCTGAGTCTTACTCTCCCTCAAAGAAAGGAAGTCAAGAAGCTAGGCCATTTTTAACTTCTGAAGATGATTTCAAGAGCAGAGGCAGCAAACTACAGCCCGCAAGCCAAAACCCAGCTGCTGTGCTTTTGTAGAAAGTTTTACTGGCGCACAGCCTCACTCGTTTGTTTACATACTGTCTGCGGCTGCCTGTGCACTCTGACAGCAAGGTGAGTACATGCAACAAAGCCTAAGATATCTGCCATCTAACCCTTTACAGAAAAAGTTTGCCAACCTCTATAATAAAGGATTGATTCAAGTAAGATGCTGAAGCTCCTATTAAAGGGTAAGCCTAGGTGCCTCACTGATGTCCCCTTTTTGCTCTGAAAGTCTACTCCAAATTTAGGATCATTTTTACACTTGAAGATATTGTATATGGTAATGAGCCAGGAATAGAATCTTCTCCTTGCACATCACATAGTACAGGGATAGAAGGTAGGAATCTGGGAAACTATGAAGTATAAAGCCCCAATTCCAGCCAATTTAAGACAGGAATCTAACAGAAGGTTCTCAAAACATCAATCTTGTGGCAAGCATATTAACAGGAATACACCCAGAGAGACTGAGAAAGCTAGCTCCCTATCCCTTCTGGAGGCAAAAGCTTCTTACTATGAACTAAGGGCAACGGCTCGGGGAGCAGACAGCAAAGCCAAAGGGAACTGTTTCCAAGGCAGAGAGGGCTCAGAGAGTTCAAAACAACAGAACAGTGGAAACAGTTTGTTTCAGAGGTACAGTAAGTAATCTGGACTGTGAGTTTTCATTCAATTCCTCATGAGGGTTCAAATTAAAACACTTCTTTGAAGGGTAATATATATATCCTATAAAACTCCTTATAAACCGTGTTGCTCAACAGACAGCTGTCAGCAACAATGAAGATGACACACACTGGAGAATTCTAGTGTTTAAGAGGATCTCTCTGATCAGCGAAGTGTTTCACATTGTGGACAAGTTTTGCAGCTGTTTTCTTACTATCTGCGCTGAAGAATATCTCAGCGGTACTTACTGACCAAGATCACGGTCAGTGTACTCCAAATGTGCCTCTGGGATAGCCCAAATGTAGGGACAAAATAAAGGATCACATCCTCCCCTGGGATCCAGATTACTTACATTTCTGAAGTCCAGTGTTCATCTGCGTGTGAGAAAGAAGCTGAAAGGACAGGTCACCTGGCCCTGGTAGACAGGCTAGCATGGCAGACCAGCATCAACACAACATGAGGCAGTCAGTCACACTGTAATGACAAAAAAACAAGGTCATGGAACACAAGGCACCTCAAGGAAGGTACTGGGGACATCGGATATGAGCAGCAGAGGCCCAAGTTTAGATAGATAAGCAATTTAATTAGTATCATGTTGGTTGAAAATATATCTATGTCTTTATCTGTAGCAACAATTTGCTCTCAACTATTACTATGGCTAAAATATTTCAGTCAGCACAGATGCTCGGGTAGGGAAATTAAAACCTAGAAAATACCTATCCACACAAAGAGCCGAAGGTCTTTTATATTCACAAGCTAGAGATGCACCCATTCGGCATTTGCATTTCCTGCAGACTACCTCTCCCTACTGCTTTTGGATAAGCCCATGCACTGCCAGATACACGGCATGCTGGCTTTCATCTGGGCCCCAGGTATGGCAGGAGTGGAAACACTATAGAGCACGGTTTTACTCAGGTGAAGGAAAAGATGATTTCTCCCTGAAAACAGAACAGTGTTCCCAAAGAGAGCTCACCCTCATAGGGCCTGGCTCGGTCTACTCGCAGACCTGCCTGGGGGCCGGGGCAGTCACACATCTCCAGAGGCAGTGCTGTATATGAGCTGCAAAGGCACCTGAAGTCCAATTTGTGACCCTAGTCACCTGAACCCACTTTTAAAAGAAAGAAGGAGAAAAGCATCCTAAGAGACAAAATTAACAACTGGGATTCGCCTTTCCTATTGCCTTTCACACAATTAGACTTCCTGGACCCAAAAAAGAAAAAGTTGCTTTGCTCCCAGCGTAAATCAAGGAGGTGGCAGGCTGCCAGCAGCCCACTTTCGGCAGGCGATCCTGACATTTTATCAAGATGGCATGGTTTCATCAGTGAAGTCTACCAACAAGACATAAGCAGTCCAAACAAGTAGACACTGAAGGCCTGTCAACAGTGCAAGCTCTCTGTGTACCATAGACAAGCTTTTTTAAAGCAAGTATAATGTACTAAAACACATGAAATTCCTTTCCAATACTGCAAAACCCAGAAATCAAGTTGGCATATTAAGGCTTTAGATCACAACAAAAGAATAATGAGGAGAAAGCTCAAATGTTAAACAAAGACCACAAAACCTCTTTCTTTCCCGTGGAGGGCCCTCTCAGGCATGTGAAACTACCTTGTCACGATGCGTATCAGAGAGCTCCAGCTTGCAAGGCCAGGTAGCTGAAAAGATACTTTGTAAAAGAGGCTGCTCAAACTGTGTCTAAGATAGCAACTGCAGAAAGAACTGAAGAGTGAATGCCTCAATGAGAACAGAGCTGCCCCAGAGTTCTGGCACAGATTCAGTCTTTTCAGGTCTCTGGTGGGTGGGATGACAGAATGAACACAGTGTGCCAACTGCAGTGCCTCAAGAAATAAAAAGTCTTCTGTTGGGGTCAAATGTTTACAATCCCTTCCCTTGTGAGTGCTGATCTCTATTTAATAACCTCCCCTCTATGGTCCTAATATAGCTGAGGGCAAACTCCAAGGAAAGGAAGGGAATTAACAAATACTGGAGGCTAATATTGTGAAATGGGCTGTATGAGGGGCTTTAGTGATGCTTTCTCAATTAGGTCTCCTAACGTTTCTTGGAGATAGGCAGTCATTTCACTTGTCGTCTCATCATCTCAACCTGGATTACTACAGTAGCCTTACAAATGGTCTCACTGTTCCACCCTTGCCCCTATCACCTAATCTATTCTCCACACAGCAGCCAGAGTAATTTATTTTTTTAATTGGAAATCGTTATCAGCTCAAAAATCTCCAATGACTTCCCATCTCACTCAGAATAAAATACAAAATCCTAACGTAGTCTACAAGGCCTTCCATGATCTGTTACCATTACCTCTCTGACCTCATCTTCTAACCTCCTTTGCCCCTCTTACTGAGGGCGTCATGGAGGTCTCCTTGGGGCTCTTCCAACAAGCCAAGCACACTCACTTCCACACCTTGTACTTCACCTGGAAGGCTAAAACACTGTGATGGTAGAGGTACAAAAAAACACATCCACTCAGCTGTCTCACAGACAGCTATAATTTTTGGAAGGAACCAGTCTGTGAATAACTGTAATCTCTGATACACCCATTAAATCTTTATACCTGCAACCAAGAAGAAACAAGTAGGGGCTGTGGATCGCAAGAGCTGACCGTAAGATACTGCCCTTCAAGCCACAAGTCTGGATTTCAATAGGAAGAACAGGAGAGAAATAATAAGCCAGCTAAACTGTGGCAAAAGGCATTAACAGGTTTACCGACAGCAAACAAAGGAGCAAAAAACAAGAGGTGAATTCTGTAGACTACAGAACGTCAGTGTATAGTTTGGGCAGGAAGGAGTACATGTGAAAAAGACACCAGAGAGTGCGACCCTCTATGATTTATGTCCCCAACCAGAACCACCCAGCAAGTCTAGAATACTCTTGAGTTCTTACTGACATCATCTGGGCTGCTAGGAGTGCAGCCTCTATATTGTGACCCTTTCTTTAAGAGTTCAGGGGTCTGCCATCCTTTGCAAAAGACTGCGCTCTAAGGAAGTCTTCAAGCCTCTTGAGCAGTTCTACTGAAATCAAGAATCAGGTTCTGTTAGGGCAGGGAAGGCAGAGAATGCAGCAAGGTCAATGAGGGTTGTGATGAAACGGGAAGGAAGCAACTTCCATAATCCATTCTAGAAAGCAGGGATGCACAGCATAAAGCTCCTCTGGAGGCCTGGCAGCGAAGCACAGGCCTTTTATTTAAAAACTTTAAACCACCCACACATTTTGATTACCAGCTGGCTTTTTCTTAAACGTAAATTCCAATATAATTTTACAGCTGATATTTCCAGAAGCACAATTAGACCCAGAAGTCAACACTAGGTTCTTCCTTTTCTGAAAGAGCCTCAAAATTCAAGTCCTGACTTTGAACTAAATCAAGTAGTAACTTGGGGCTCAGGCCAAATGAGCTACAGACATCATAGAGAAAGAAAAAAGTTCTTGGCAGAACCTCTCTGACAGCTCTCAGCCAGCTTTCCTACCACCAGCTGGTCTGTTCCCTAAGCAGGGGGACGACAGTATCACAGTGTGCACAGAATTAAGGTGTTCAAACTCCCCTGGGGCATTTGCACAAGTGCTAGCTTTTCTCAGACTACCTTGAATTAAGGAACAAAGCCCTTGTCCCCACTGGGAAAATTCAAAAGGACTTTCATCTGTGCTCCCCATCTCCCCCTGACCCCCAAGGCTGGTAGAGGTTTTATTAGAGTTGTGGAATCACGCTTTCTGCTTTCCCGAGTGGCATCTGATAAAGGATCATCTCTGCCTTAGGACAGGTTTGTGCTGGTAGGAAAACTTCAGCTGTTTGTACTGTCTGTCCCTGTCTATGCTTAAGACCACTGAAGGGTAGAAAAGGAGGAAGACTCTTCATATGTTTTTTTTAGTGAGAAAAGGAGGGGGAAAGAAAAGAAAATGTTAGCAAAGGAATTTTTACTTGGGGGTTGAGAGTGAAACGATCTAGAGTAATCACTTCCCAGCAAGTCTCACCACCCACAATCGAATGCCTTTCAGTACCTTTCTTTGCCAGGCCTCTCTCCTGTTTTCCTTTCCCTGCCTTCAAAAAGAACCCTCACCGCCCCCCACCCCAATAGGTTGACTAGCCCAGTTTATTATTTATGCGATGATTCAAAATTTTAAATCTGCCATTCATGGACTTTAATTAAAAAATGAAATTGAGAGCAGTGCCATCTCTGAAATCCGAGGATAAGAAAATGTTATGCCCTTTGTTATTTGACTCCACTTTATAAAATATACCCAACAGTGAAAACCCTGAGTACCCGCATCTTAAGAGAATATGATGAACACTGAGAAACTGCATTAAGAGTCATCACTATCTCTCAATAAGCCTTCTCATCCATGAGGCAAAGGCTTACCTAAAAAGACCACTTTTTGATAATGGGGTAAAAGTTTTAACCTACTGCTCCTTGTTCCTTTACTCCTGGGGTCCAAGAAACTAGGTTAAAACCTAAGGGAAATACTGCTCTGGGGAAAATAAACAGGTCCAAAGATGGCAAAAGTTACATGTTTAGTAAATTAGATTCTGCAGAATCAGTCATCTTTATGGTCTGTGTCAATGAAATAATCTATTCAACAGGCAATTTTGTCAGTCCAGGTAACTATGAACTTCCAACTACTTTGTACTTTTCACTACTTACCCAACCTGAATAAGTTCCATCATTGCTCTAAGGCATCTTTCTTCTTTATCTTTAACCCAATAGGGGACTTAAAGTCACTTGCAATTGTGACCTCACAACTCTAGGCTGAGAGAAAGAGGAGAGAAAGATGGGTGTTCCCTCTGAACTAAATTTGTTGAAAGCCCAGAACTATCGCTGCTGCAAACCATCTCCATGTAACTGGACATACGAGGTTTGGAAACATTACTCCTAACTACCCTTTAGAACCCATCACAACAGGTCCTCTTCCTATTCTGTTTCCAACCTCCGATACTCTGGTCCCTTAAAGGTGCCTTCTCTGCCAGTGCTTTCTTCAGCATGAATATTCTTTCCTGGATCCTCTTATTATTCATTTATGACTCAGTGCTTTCTCCTAAATTTGTTATTCAGGACCCAGGAAAGTATTTACCCTGGACATTTACTTTTCAACTTGAGTGTGAATTTGTTTAATAAATATTACTGGTTCACTCCTGAAAAACAACATACACTTTAATCCCAGGCTCTGGAATTTATCTGAATTTAAGTCCTTGAAACACACGGATAATACAAGTGCCAACATGTGTCTGTGTAGGTGTGTACACAGGTGCCTTCATTCTGGGAGTGAGGGCAGAGGAGATAAAAGCCGCCTAGGCACCTTAAAAAAAAAAAAAAGAGCCCAGGTACTACTTTGCATTGTATTGAAAAATATCCTTTGGCTTCAATACTTTAATCCCCATTAGGTAGAAATCAGTGTTCTAAAAATGTGAAATAAAGGCTGTGTTCACTGCAGGCTGCTAAATCAGAACTTGCAACTTTTCATAATAGTGTGTA